GAGAGAGAGGTGTTTACAACTTTTATAGTTGTTTTAAAATTTTTAAATGAATGTTCTTCTGAAAATGTTGTTTCTATTTCAATGCATACCAATTCGGCTTAAAAAGGATTTTTTTTACAAATTTGGATAGACTCATTTCAAAATTCATATGGCAAGGGAAACGACCGAGAATCAGGTTAAAACTATTACAAAACGCTAGAGAAAGAGGAGGATTTGGCCTACCAGACTGGACAAAGTATTATCAGGCAGCGGCATTGGTCTGGCTAAGCAAGTGAATGCATCTCAAAAATACAAGCTTATTAGCACTAGGAGGTCATGACCTACAGACAGGGTGGCATGCTATTTTGTGAGAAGAAAGATATTTAGCCCAGCAATACTTCCGGAAGCATTATATTAGGAGAGCTCTATAGGATATCTGGAAAAAAATAAAAAGAAATAATTATATGAAAATCCCCAACTGGGTGTCTACATTAGAAAAATGTACACACATCCAAATTTGATAAAATTTGGGGCTGCCGTCACCTATAAAGATATTTTGAATGAGAGAGGAGAATTAAAAGCGAGAAATACCTTAAAGGAAGAAGAAATTGATCTGGAATGGTGGGTGTATCTTCAGATCCAATCCAAATTTAATAATATCAAAAAGGAACGGGGTATAAAGCAAGACTCTTCAAAATTAGATAAAATCTTATTTAGTAGGGAAGGCAAGACTATAAGTAAACTATATTGACATTTATTAGAGCAAGATACAATTGAGGAACAGGTGAAAGAAAGGATGATAATTTGGTGTAAATATTTTGGGCACAATATTGATTTGGATAATTGGCAATGTTTATGGAAAAAACCCTAGCAATCTCTAGCAACCTCCTATAAGGAAAACCTCTATAAGATGTTGTATAGGTGGCACCTCCCTCCCATAAGATTAGCACAAATGAACAAGGGAAAATCCTTGATATGCTGGAAGTGTGGAGAGACCGTTGGGAATTACTACCACATGTGGTGGCAATGCCCAAAGGCACAAACATTTTGAAACTTATTAAAGAAAAGGCTGGAAGAAATTTTGTTAATAGATATAGAGGCCAAACCAGAATTTTTTAAATTGCGAATTATAGAAAGAAAATATAAGAAAGATGCAAATCATTTACTATTGCATATAGTAACAGCGGCACGAATAGCCTTTGCTCAAAAATGGAAAGAGAAGAGTACTCCAATCGAAGAGGAAATATTACTGAAAATTTTCAATTGCGCTGAAATGGATAGACTTACATGGGAACTCAAGGATAAAAGTGAAACCAAGTACTATAAAATCTGGGAACAATTTTATGATTGGATAGACAATAAGAGGGTAGCCAAGACAAATGTATAGTGTTAGAATAAAATATAGATTATAGACAAATGTATATTTAAAAGACAAATAGATATACAGAAATAAGGGGAAAAGTGTCAATATTATATTATAAATAGTGAGCAAAGCTCAAGAACTATATGTCTCTATAAGTACTAATACTACTGTAAAATGTTGGAAGATGTATGGAACCAGTGACATTATATCTAGGTCCATTGTGTTTTTAATTTTGTATTATTAATAAAAAATTATAATAAAACAACTTTTATAGACAGTGCAATATATGATTTAATAAACAGGGACCGCCTATGGAAGAAACCTATGGACCTAAGCATGGATCCTACATTCCTCTCTTTATTCAAGGCATTAAACACAAATTTATGCCTAAAGTACATACAGGAATGCATAGTACTTAATACCAGTAAGGGAGTCAGTCAAGGATGTATACTGGCTCCCATTTTCTCTAATCTGGATACAGGTAATCCTTGACTCACAACCATTCATTTAGTAACTACTGAAAGTTACAATGACACGGAAAAAGAGACTTAACGACTGTTTCCACACTTACAAGCAATACAGCAACCTCAAGGTCATTTGATCAAAATTTGGGTGCTTGCCAACTGAAATCTATTTATGAATCATGTGATCATCTTTTGCAATCTTCTGACAAGCAAAATCAATAGGGAAGCCAGATTTACTTAACAATTGTGTAACTAATTTAACAACTGCACTGATTCATTTAACAACAATGGCAAGAAAGATCATAAACTGGGGCAAAATTTACTTAAAAACTATTGTGCTTAGCAATGGACTAGCTGAATGAATGAAATCCCAAGGTCCCTCCATTTAACCAATATGCATATCCCCAGAATTAAACACGTAAACATTGAGCTCTATGCAGATGAGGTAGTATTGATGTCATGTATCCAGGTAGGGATTATTCATATTGTGCACTCAGTGACCTGAAGGTCAATAAATTGAAACCTAAAGTAATTGTTTTGAGGAGAGGCGGAGTATGTATAGTTGGAACTTAGATAGGGAATGTACACCTTTATTTCATACAGATATTGTACATAACAGCAAAATCATCCCAATGATCACAAATGGTGCAGATTTGTAGGACTATATAACTGCCCTTTTAGTGGAAATGATGCAGTCTAATTTTCTCAAATGTATCCTCGGGGTGGATTCCTCTACACTACTTCCAACAATACGGATCTAGTTGGCTCTACCACTTATATAAAGCCATCTAGTAATTAAAATATTCAAGTAGAAAACATGCAAAATACTGTGGCTGAAGATCCGATCTATGGACTCAGACAGATTACCTGAGCATGCTACCTTGCAATTGGGCTAACCAATTTTCAAATGTCTTCACAATGTGGATTCTCCATCCAAATCCCAGTTCAATCTGATCTAAAGGCCAAAGAAGCTGTCAACAAGTCATTGATGTGGCTGCCCAGGAGGCAGCTGTGGCTGCCCAGGAGGCAGCTGTGAGTACTGTTGTTGTACTGCCTTCTCACTCCCCAGGCCTTTGACCTGGAGCTTAATGCAGCTGTGTATTGATTGAGGACTGACTTTGGACTTTGTTTGGCGTTTCTTGGACTGAATCAAAGTAATGGAACAACATGTCCAGTTTCTTGTGTTCCTGTTTTCATCTTGACCTCTGGCTCTGTGTATTGATTTAGGGCTGGCTTTGGACTTTGTTTGGCATTTCTTGGATTGAATCTTGTCAAGAGTTCATCTCGTGTGGGGTTTGTAACCTGGCCATCTCGTCATTTAGTTTATTACTGAAACTATTGAGGGTTTTGAATAAAAAACTTTGAACTTTCCATTGTGAGCATGTGTGCATGAGTGGGGCAGCACAATGAGGGCCTGGTAGGAGGTGGAGAGCTGAGCCTGATCCTAATCCAGTGCCAGTTTGAAGGGGTTGCAGGCATGGGAGGACAAAGTGAAGAGTGTGTGCTGAGGGCGAAAGGCTGGCTGAGCCATAGTGAAGAGCCGACTCGGTGCCAGAGCTGCAGCATAGAAAGATGACAAGCTGGGGGGGGGGAGTGGAAGCAGGAACTGGCCCAGAGAGTCAACAGGGGCCTTGGCGGTGAATATGTGGCCCAGATCAGAGATCAAGGCCAGAGGGAGCAGTGCAGTGCTCAGAGATCAGAGATGGATTTGGGGCCCTCTGTAAGTTGGTTTGGTGCAAGTAGTGGCATGAAGTTCAATGAGCTGGCAACTGGCACTGGAAGTCCGACTGGGGCTACAAATCTGCAATTGGAACCCAGAAGCTGGCAATAACTTGAAGGAGAAGGCCAGATCCTCTGAAGAACATTGGTTGAATGTTGAATCATTTTTTCTAAAGAAAGTCCAGAAAGAGATTGAAGACGTGTTTGGCTTCTCAGGGACAATTTCCTATCAGGATCAGAGAAAGTTCCCCTACACCAATGTTGTGATTCATGACCTCATTGCCCTGATGTTGGTAAATTCATCCAGGCTTATTATACTCTAAAATGACAATCTCTAGGCCATCAGTGCAGGGTCTGAGTGGCTCACAAATTCATGGCTACCAAGACAAAACCAAGAGGTTATCATGATACTCACTCACACTGAGAGCAATACACCCTTGCTCTGGTTTGTTTCCTAGCTAACATGCGATCTGAAGATCTAGGACATTCACGTCACTTGTGGTCAGATTACTTTCCATATTCCAGGAAGCTCACTTCTAGGATCCAGCTCCCTGTTTCGATTGCATCATTCACATCCAACTGGTTTCCAAGAGGCACTTGAGGAAATGTCCCACAAGCCTGGCAGGTCCTTCTACTTGCAATCTACTCAGTCTCCAGAATACGTGGATAACAAAGGGACCAGGCAGGATTAACCCCAAGGGGCCTCTTTCTTTGCATTGATTCAGAGGAAAATTTTGAATAAGAATTCTGGGAGAGGAATTGCCAGAAACTGGAAGAACTGGAGCAATACAGGTAGTCCTCAATTTATGACCACAATTGATCCCAAAGTTTCTCTTGTTAAATGAGACATTGGTTAAGTGAGTTTTGCCCCATTTTATAACTTTTCTTGACTTGGTTTTTAAGTGAATCACTGCAGTTGATAACTTAGTGACCAGGATGTAAGCGAATTTGACTTCCCCATTGATTTTACTTATCAAAGGTTGCAAACGGTGAACACATGATTTTGGGACACAGCAATGGTCATAAATATTGTCCATTTGCCAAGCATCTGAATTTAGATCACATGAACATGGGGATGCTGTAAAGTCGTCACTGTGAAAAGTGGTCATTTTTCATGGCTGTTGTAACTTTGAAAGGTCACTAAATGAACTGTTGTAAGTCGAGGACTACCTGTACTTTCAAACATATTAGGGGAAGGTTGTAGAGAAAGTGATTAGGCTGTAGAGGGCTTCAGATCAAGCATAGAATTAGATCCAGTCTAAGTTCAGCTCTAAGTGTCGGATGAAAAATGGATTGGTTGCTTCAGTGGATGTTCTGTCTTGGGGTGTGGATGGGAGTCACACTCTTTCTTCTCCTGTTAGTTCTCTCAGCATCGTTTCAACCCTTCAAGCATGGCATCCTTTTGGTCTATCTATGAATTTTGCCCTGAGTGCGGAACATGGTCCATAGGAGAAATTTAGTAAAAATAAAAAAGATAAATGGAAAGTAATATGTTTTATTGACGCCCAAAAGGAAAGAAAGATAAAACATGATAAGCTTACTTAGCACATTTTTCAAACATAGTCATTGGTTGACCTTGTTAGGTATGTTGTGTGACCCCAGCAGTAGGTTACAGAAGTTTCAGTATTGAGTAAATAGAAGCAAAGCACAATATTAATTGAATAGGTACATAGGAAACATTTGTCACACTGAATACCTATTCTGTAATAATTTAATGCTTTTTATGGGGTTTAATTTTAAGCCTTTGTAGGAATAGCACACAGTTTGTAAGGGTGTGTATGCATTGTCACATTTACAATAGGGGCTTCATTGAGTTCTTTCACTCCTTCAGGCAACCGGAAGCTGAAGGCCCTCAACAGATTGGTCAGAAAGATGAAGATCTCAATTCTCGCCAGCTGCTCTCCCACACATATGCGTTCACCTGTAGATATAAAAGCATGCATAAAGGGGATAATAATTAATTCTCCAGAATATATCCCATCAGCAAGGAAACGTGAAAGAAGATTGAATCTTCCTATCTTCTAGTATTACTTATTGATTAGCACATTATTATTTAGTACACAGGAACAGCTTTTGAAGATAATGCTTTGAATCTATTGATGTGGTTAGCCATTGGTCAAACTGCTTTATTAAAGTAGTTTATGAGCCCTGGTGGGGCAGTGGTTAGAATGCAGTATTGCAAGCTAACTCAGGTCACTACCAGGAATTTGATAATGACAGACTCAAGCTTGATTCATCCTTCCATCCTTTCAAGGTTGGTAAAACAAGGACCCAGTTTGCTGGGGGCAATATGCTGATTCTGTAAACCACTTAGAGAGGGCTATAAAAGCACTATGAAGCGGTATATAAGTCCCTTACAGTAAAGGTGATGGGCAGGACCAGGATACCAAATTGCATAGGAAGGTTTTTAGTAAGGAGGAACACTATTGGTGGTATTGGCAAAGTCTTAGACTACCTTGTAACCTTTAACATGTAACCTTTAGCAACAGCAATAACAATAACAATAGCGGTTAGAGTTATATACCACTCCATTGGGCTTTACCGTACTCTTCTCAGCAATTTACACTGTCAGCATATTACCCCCAACAATCAGGGTTCTCATTTTACTGACCTCAGAAGGATGGAAGGCTGAGTGAAACATGAACCGGTCAGGATTGAACAGCTGGCTATGGGCAGTTCAAGCTTTAGCTGAACTAAGCAACCCACACTCATTTTATTATAAGGTGGATGACATGTGGATTAATTAAAACTGTCTTACTATGACCCTGAAGATGTAAGCAAGATGTATACTGCTTTTAATGATTATTTTATAATGATATGTATTTCCATGATTGGCATCATGGCAATGTATGCTTTTCAAAATTGCATCAAAGGGGGTCCACTCAAAGCAGAGGTGTGCCCATTCAGAACTTGCTTCCGGGTAGATCTTTTATTTACATATAAAAGGGTTTTTTTTTCTTTTCCACCTGACTGGTGTGGGTCATTGGGCCTGTATGTTTAGGTAGGAGGACAGGAGTTTTGGGGGACAACAATAGTTTTTCATATCTGTCATAACTGAAGCTGTGACTTTTATTCCCTTTGTTATCAGCACCAGCAATAGAGAAAGATTCATTGGTGTACAAGCAGTACCAGACAGGATGAAAACGCTGTTGTAGGGGGAGCTCTGAAGCCATTAAAAAGACTGAGCTTAATGCATCTAGAACCAAAACTCTGTGATGCAGATCCATCAAAAAGAAGCTAAAAGTGATTTCTAGTTCCAGATCGCGGCGCCTCTAGTCTCACAAAGAGACTCATCTCCTCATCGGCTAGTTTCCTTCTGCCGGTAGACCCTTATGCAGGTCAAAATTCACCCTGGAGGATGCGAGGTCTGTCAAAGAGGCTTTGCTCGGCTTCAGAAGAGCAGCGGCTCCTCAGGCTGTCCGGGCCAACTCTGAGGGGCCGACAGAGAAGATCGGCCAGTAAATGACCGATCACCTAGCCGCTTCAAACTGCAAGTCAAAGAATATCTAAGCTTTAAAAACCATCATGGTGAATCCGGGTGAGACTTTTTTTTTTTTTTGCTCCTCTCTTCATTCTATTTTGGTTTTTTTTTTTTTTTTGCCTGTAAGAGTCCTGTTGAAATTATTTCTCTGGCTTGGAAAAGAAGCTTCTACCTGTTTGGAAAGAAAGGTGTTGAACAAAAGAATAGAACAAAATCTTAAAGACTACATTTTATTTTTACATGTTTTGGGGTACTGAAAAAATTCTTTCCTAAGAGCTGTACTATCATCTTATGCTGTTTGTTTGTTTGTTTGTTTGTTTGGAGTGGTATTATCATCTTATATTGGAAGAGTATTTCTTTCTCCACTTTTTCCTTAAAAATAGAAAAAAAGGGAAAAAATGGCATTTGAAAAATATTTTTTAGCTGACTGAGGACATCTACTGGTCAAAAGTTAATATTATAATTGTTGACTGTTTGGAGATGAGATGGTTTTGGCCTTCAAATTGTTTTTTAAGAGAAAGATAACTTGATGCAGCTGTGGGATTTCTGGGGGTGGATATTTTTCTACTGCTATTAGGAACAGTCTCAACCAAGAGAAAAAGGATTTCTCTTCAACTATTTTTAAAATGGAGCCTCACTTTTATTTAAATTGTAAACTTATACTTGAAAAGATTTATGAGGCTAAAGAAGAAATATGTGCTACAATGAAAGAGTTTACTACAGAATTAAGAGTTTGAATCTCTCCCTTAAACTTCAAAACTGACTCTCACACTATACCTGACTATTCTATAAAACAGATTACACAAGAAGAGGATTTAACTGAAAATAAAGAGAAATTTATTTTGCCTTATAAGCAGTTCACTTATGACTTTGAGGACCAGAAAAAGCAAAGACTGATTATGATTAAGAGAAACAGACGGCCAATGCAGAGTCCAAGATGGTTTTCATTGATTCAAATGATATTGCAAGCAACAAAGAGAGACTTATCAGGTGAAAGGGAAGCTCTGCTATGGAAACCTGCTTGGCATAAGAAGAAGGCTAGAATAAGAGTGAAAAGAAATGAAATTTAAAATTTTATGTAATGGACTAAAGGCAATCTAGAATTATGGATTGATTTAAGGACTAAGATTATGAGCTAGAAGTAAGAGAAAAATGGGTGACTATATTAACTATATGAAAATTATTATGTAATGGAAGGAAGAAAATTGAAGAGATGTTTTAGATCTGGATTGATTTAATAACTAATGGAATGTTAATCTAATAAGATGATTTGTTTGTTTGATGCCGAATGGATTGGAATGATCTAAGGTTTGATATTATTTTGTCAGCTTAAAGAGATTGTTTGATTGATGGATTACATATGTTTAGGATAGATCAATATTTTAGCTTAAAAGAGATATTTTTATGCAATGGATTAAAGGCAATCTAGAATTATGGACTGATTTAAGGACTAAGATTGTGAGTTAGAAGTAAGAGGAAAAATGGGTGATTAATGGAATATACATTTTAAATTGATTAAGAGAGTGTCTTTTAGAAGAATAAGTTTATTTATAAGAAAATTATTATGTAATGTTGAGTTAATCTAATAAGATGATTTGTTTGTTTGATAATATGGATGTTATTAGTTATGATAATTAATTGGATGAAATTTGAATTCTGTCTAATGGATTGAAATGATTTAAGGTTTGATTTTATTCTGTCAGCTTAAAGAGATCGATTGATGGATGGATTAGATATGTATAGGATGGATTAATATTTTATTTTAAATAAGGGATATTAGCGGAAGAAGAAATAAATAAGATTTATGATAAAATTAAGGAACTAGAACATATTTGGAAGGGATACCTGAATTGATAATGTTTTTATTTAAAGTTAATTTGATTATGGTATTGTAAATTTATAAAGCTTTAAAAACAGGTCCAGGTTGAATAAATTTAAGCTAGAATTGTATTATTTTAAATAAATTATGCTATTTAAGGGAAAAAGAGAGGGAATACTTGGTGTATTGATGGCTTTATGTATATATGTTTTGTTTTTGGATGTTTGATTACCCTAGCATCACGGTGTTCCTTGAACACTTATGTCTTAAGAATTAAAAAACTAATAAAATTTGTTTTTAAAAAAAGAAGCTAAAAGTAGGCTTGTTTTCTTTGGCTTTAGCTAATAATTCTCCCCCCAAACAACAGAGATAATTGTGCAAAGCTCTACTGATTACAATATAAATATAATTAGTATTTCTTTGTAGTTTAAACTTTATAGCCTAAGAGGAACTTCAGATTCTCATGGTTTTGAAAGTAGAAGGAATAGAGATTCATGGATTTTCTATTCAGTCCATGATGACTTCAGAATAACACAGTGATGGGGGTGGTCAGAATCTATATGTGATAAACTGCTTTGGGCTCATGGACGTACCTATTCCGAAGGGCAGAAACTCTTCTCGTTCAATGAACTTTCCATCCTTATCTAAAAAGTGATTTGGGTTGAATTCGTCAGGTGTCTCCCATTGTTCAGGGTCAAGAAGAACAGAACGCAAGTCTGGCAAAATAATGGTCCTCTGCAAAAAAATTCAAACAATATTTTTTGAGTCCTCGAGTCAACGGCGAAAGAAGAGCACACATTCTGATGGTTATAACAGCTTTTATTCTCTTCAGCTCTCTCCGACACAACTCAGAGGCTCGCAGGCCTCTCTGCCTCTAAATAGAATCCCCGGGTAAAAAGGTAACAAAGAATGGCGTGCTTTCGCGCCTTGCGCATGCGCGCAGGCTGGCGCCACTCAGTCTGGTCCCGGGCAGCTTGAAACAGCCTGGGACCATTGCAACATCCTGATCCTGCCTTTGCAGGCTCAGGACACAACACGCCTTCCCCCCCCGGATGAAACTTAATGAACCTATATAGATAGGTATACGCGGCCTTCAAATGGACGTGGTGTGCTATCCCTTATGGAACTGCACAACTGTTGCAGCTACTTTACTAGCCACTCTATAACATGGTACCATGCTATTATTTTGGAATTAAGTGCCCAAAGTCTCACAATTTCAAATTCACCCAACATCAGGCACCCTCTTCACCTCCCTTGCTTTGACAGCAATGTTACAAAACCTTCCAAAACCTAACCCTCTGTGACCTCCTCAGATTTTGAGAACTTCCTTGACTATCCTGTGCAGTGACTGTAGTAGAGTTGCCCCCTCTTTTAAACCCTGGTGGTCTTCGTGAGCTGGGTTCTGTTGCCTGCTCTGCTTGCTTGCCCACCGGGCTCGTCAGACCAAGACTTTGCTCCCTACTGTACATGGTTGATCTGCCTAACTGTAGGATCTTGGGCCCCTCTATGTTCCCACTAGTACTTGGCGATTCTGTGGTACTCTCCAAGTCCACAATGGACCTATCAAAGGAATGCATCCCTTCACTCCCTAGCCCCCTAACTGGGTTGTCTGGGGTTTCTGCAGTGCCCCAATACTCAGTTGCCCCCCAATCTATGCCAGAGGTACCAGAATCAGGATTTGCCTCTCTGACTACCTCCCTGTATGCAGACTTCCTTTTGGGAACAGTAGCAGCATTGGGCCATCTTGTTTGTTTGGATGCCAGTTCTCTTGTGTTATTTGAGTTATTTGGATGCTCCCGGTTATTCTCCCTGCTTGGAGTGCTGTAGTGGGGTTGTGAATAATGAGTATGCCCCCTGGGTGACTCCCTGGCTGGAGTAAGTACTGGTGCCTGTATTGTTCCTTGTTCCCCTGAATTCCTGTTAGGGACACTTGCGGAACCTTGGGAAAGGCCTTCCTCTGCCTCTCCATTTGCCCCTGATTGCTGCCAACACCCTTCCCTTTGCCCACAGTGGTTCCCCTCCCCCCCCTGGAGAAAACCCAGGAGTTGAAGAGGGAGAGTCCAGTCTCGTACGCAGCTGATCGATATGCCACCGAAGGACATGACCGTCGTACAGGGAAACCTCGTAGGACAATGGACCAGTGACCTTGCATACTACCGCAGGAACCCACAGCTATTACAAATCTTCCTGAAAGTGTGAATAGAAATGATTGAAAGAGCAGACCCAGTGTCCAGTTCCATAACCAATGGAACTCCTTGTAACCTCACCTTAAGTGACAGTTTCTTTTTAAGTGGTTTGTGTGTGCCTGTTCTACAAATACTTCTGCGTGATGCGCAGAAACCCACCCTGTTTTGGCTGGGGACCTTGGTACCTTTCAGACAAATTCTTCTCGAGGTTGTGCCTTCTGACGGCCCAGACAAACAGATGCTATGTGGCCTTGCCTTCCACATGCTCTACAGATTGCAGAATGGAACCTACACTTGGCCCTCTTGTGGCGACCTCCACACCCGAAGCACTTGGACACAGCTGGAGCCTTTTCATTGCCTTCTCTCTGCTTCCTTTCTTTGGATGGGTAGAGATGATCCACCTCGTCTTCAGGATCTTCCTCCAAGCTCTCTTGGACTCCCTCATGGTACACGGAGACTGCTTCTGGGTTGTTCCTGATGGGCCTCATGTTCTTGACTGCCCCACCTGCAGCCTCCTCTCCAGTGACCTCTCTCAAGGCATCTTGGTAGGAAATATCTTCTTTTGCAAAGAGTCTCTGTTTCTTAGCCCACATACAAAACGGTCTCTCAGCCTTTCTTCTAAATCATTAAAGTCACAAGGCTTATCTGCTCTTCTCAAGGCTGCAATGTATTCTTTGGCTGATTCACCAACTCTTTGATCCCTCTGTTCAAATGTGTGCGTCCACGAAATAAAAGACAACTTGGGCTGAAAATGTTCCTTCAATAACTTCTTTCAGTCTGTATAAGTGACAGATTCAAGAGGAGCAGGGGCTGCCAAATTTTCTGCAATCTCAAATGCATCTTGACCACAGACACACAGCAAAGTAGCGGCCTTCAAGCCATCTTCTCTAACTTGATTCACTCTAAAGTAATTTTCTACTCTAGCGACATAAGACTCCCATCTTTCTGGGTGAGTAACGTCAACTTCAGACAATCTTCCTATCTTCGCCATCCTTACTTCTTATTCTAGGAAGGGGTCTATCAGCCAGCTTACCTCCAGTGACACTGTACTGGCAGGCCAGGTGCTGAGTTTAATGCTGTCTTCCTCTCTCCAGGACTCCTTGGGTAAGCCTTACAAGTCTTCTTTCTTTACCTTGTAAGTGATCCCATCCTCGTCGAGTCCTCGAGTCAACGGCGAAAGAAGAGCACACATTCTGATGGTTATAACAGCTTTTATTCTCTTCAGCTCTCTCCGACACAACTCAGAGACTCACAGGCCTCTCTGCCTCTAAATAGAATCCCTGGGCAAAAAGGTAACAAAGAATGGCACGCTTTCATGCCTTGCGCATGCGCGCAGGCTGGCACCACTCAGTCTGGTCCCGGGACGCTTGCAACAGCCCGGGACCATTGCAACATCCCGAGCCTGCCTTTGCAGGTACAGGACACAAGAATATTAATGACATGTTTGGTTTTAGCTTGTCTTGATAGACCCATATTTGTTCATTTCCAAAGCAGTTTCTAAGAGCAGTGGCTGTTCTTAGCAATTCTCACCTTTGGAATGTGGTAACCCTTCATCGTCACATCTTTTGTACTTTGCCTGGGAAACCCAACTAGAAAAACATATTTTAAACGCTGCATTTCATGAATCACGGCATTGGTGTAGGGCAGCTTCTTCCGATCCTGATAGGAAATTGAGGCCGAGGAACTAAAGGCTTCTTCAATCTCCTTCTGGACTTTGTCTAGAAAAAAACAATAGAAATAGAAGCCTCTTTTTCATTATTATGTTTCATTTACTCGTTTCCAAATTTTAATTCTTAACAGAACTTTAGGACATAGAATAGCCTTTAGGGCATTAAATGTAATCCCATCCTTTTTAAAAAATATTATGAAGGAGAGCAGATTGAAAATGCATTTCCTGTACTCTGATCATATCCAATCCAAACAGGTTCAGAATATTGATGCAAACTGTTGATTCAGTTTAAATATTCCATGGAATCTTTTTCAATCTACACTGTGTGCACAATTATTAGGCAAGTGAATATTTGGACTGTATCATCATTTTTATGTATATTTTCCACCTCCAAGCTGTATAAACATGAATGCTTAGTGGATATAAGATTATCAGGTGATGTGTAGTTGTGTAATGAGGGAGGGTTTGGCCTAAGGAGATCAACATCCTTTATCAAGGGATACATAATTATTATGCAGCTTCTTTTCCTCAGGCAAAAAAGACATTCAACTGACTCTGAAAAGTCAAATATTGTAAAAAGTCTTTCAGAGGGATGCAGCACTCTTGAATTTTCCACAGAACCATCAAAAGTTTTGTTGGAAATTCTCAACAGGATCAGAAGAAATGTGTTGAGAAAAAGAGACACACATTAACTGCCAAAGATATGAGAAGAATCAAACGTGAAGCTACCCAGGAACCCATTATCCTCCAGTGCTGACATAGTCCAGATTTGCAATCTACCTGAAGTATCTTGAAGTACAAGGTTCTCCATGCTCAGAGACGTGGCCAAGGTAAGGAAGACTGAAACCCACACTGAACAAGACATGGAAGATGAAATGGTAAGATTATGCCAGGAAATCTCTGAAGACAGAATTTTCAAAGGTTTTATGGGCTGATGAGATGTGAATGACTTTTGATGGAGCAGATGGATGGCCCCATGGCTGGATCAGTTATGCGCACAGAGCTCCACTTTGATTCAGACACCAGAAAGGTGGAGGTGGGATACTGGTATGAGCTGTTATTATTAAAGATGAGCTAGTTGGACTTTTTCAGGTTGAAGATGGACTCAAAATCAACTCCCAAAACTACTGCCAGTTTTTAGAAGACAATTTCTCATGCAGTGGTACAGGAAAAAGTCTGCATCATTCAAGAAGACCATGATTTTTATGCAGGACAATGCTCCATCACATGCATCAAAGCACTCTATTGCATGGCTAGCCAGTAAACGCCTTAAAGATGAAATAACAATGACTGGCCCCCATTGTCATCTGACCTAAACCGTATTGAGAACTGTGTAGTCTGACCATGATAGAGGGAATAATGATAACTCCCAGAGCAGATCACATTTGCCACTGTTTTGACAAGTAGATCATGTCTTCAAGGGTGTCCACTGTCCTGGGTTAGGCCATGGATAACCTTAAAAAGCTGCCGTGATGGCCATGAACACTTAAGCTGCTTCTGGGGCTTTCCCCCGGCACCTATTTATATTCCTACCCATCACTATTTGAATTGCTTTTCCTAAACCCTACGAGATGCTCTTCTACCCCTAAACCTGACTCCCCACTGTGCTGGCAGACATTTTACAATGATGAACAGTCTGTTCTCCTAGTTGTGTCCCTCAGTGCTGCAGACAATGGCCCTAGATTGACTCCCCACCCCTCCACCCCAAATCTGTGGCCAGGGGTCTTTCCTGGTTGGCAGGATGAAAATGCAAGCCTCAGTGGGCTCCCAGCTTCAGACCAATCCCCTCTCTTTGCCACACCATTCCAGCTTGGTCTCTTCAGCTTCTTCCAATTATGGAGCAGACCTAGCAGTAGCAGGGTAGGAAGAAAGTAGGATTAAGAAGACTGAGGGCTTCATTTGCTGCTCCAAGTGGTAACCGCCTCCTCCCCCACAATTTCCCCATTCCTTCCCTTCATGTCAGGAAGCCTTGTGTTACGCATTTGCTTGCTGCCTCCATCTTGACTTTTTTCTATATTTATTATCATGCTGAAATTTGGTCCTCTATATCCAATTTAGGCCAAACAAGTAGCAAATCTGAAAAACATGGTAGATTTCTACACTGAATGTATTAAATGTACTGATTCAAGTTTTCAGTTCCTCACTCAACATTTTATTGAAAATTCAAAGAAGGCTCTCTGTACATTCCTGGCTTTCCTTTAATCCTGCTAAATTCATGCCCCTGCTTATAAGGTCAAGAATCTACATAGGAAAATTATTATGAAGAATAGATTCAGTTGCTCATTCAATAGCTTAGAATTTCAAATAATTTCTGCATATTATAGAACTTAAGACTGGCCCTTGTTCCCACAGCCCAGATTTCTCTCACCTTGGATGTCAGGATGATTGGTCAAGAGGAGCAGTGCCCACATCAGAGTAGCCAAGGTTGTCTCTGTCCCAGCACCAAAAAAATCAACAATACACTGAGCCAGGTTCTCTTCATTGTAGGTAGAGTTGGGATCATTCCTGCTCTGGTGTTTAAAATGGAAAATAAAAATTACAATGAATTCTATGCAAGTTTTTTTTTTAATTTTTTTTATTAAAAGTTTTTCAAATTTATTACAATATAAACCCCCACCCCTCCCCCCTTCCCCCCTCCCCCACTTCCCAGAGCTGATTACAGGTTAACAAATAAACAAACATAATCTAACTAACATAAACCAACTATACTATCAATCAAAACCATAACACACTTTAACTCCTTCTCTTTCTGTTAATTTCTTTAACATCAAAATCTACAATAATACCCAACAAAAATAATTGTGGAGTAAACTTTATCTTTCTCTTAAAAATCTTTTGAATATTCCACCAAATCTTAATCCAAAAGGCTTTAATATCTCTACAGGTCCACCAGATATGAAAATAAGTTGCATCTAAATTTCCACATCTCCAACATTTGGGCTGTAAATTCGGATACATGCAAGACAACTTTTGGGGATCCAAACACCATCTATAAAACATTTTATAAAAAAATTTCTCTTAAATTTTGCACTTGAGTAAATTTTACATTTCTAACCCAGATTGTCTCCCATGTATCCAATAAAATCAGATCTTGAATATTTTGAGCCCATTTAACCATACAATCTTTAACTAACTCCGTTTCAGAGTCCAATTCTATTAAAGCACTATAAATTCTTTTGATATGAGCTCGACTTTGATCTTTAATCTATTTTACCAAATTCACATCCTCTAAAGTAATATCAACCTTTTGATTTATACTGCACCTCACTAACAATTGATTATAATAAAACCAAGAATATACAACGTTTTCTTGCATCAACTCAGTTAAGGGCTTTAATTGCCAATGCTGCCCAACCAAACTAAGTAATACCTTATAAGAAATCTTATCCAAATTTACTCCCCTAGATACTCCCTCTATCACATGTCCAGGAATCCCCCAAATTGGGATTTTATAATTTAACCTATAATATTTCTTCCAGACACATAACAAGGCACTTCTCAAAATATGGGTTTTAAAAACCTGATCAACTTTTTTTTATCATAAATTAAATAGGCGTGCCATCCATATAATAAATCCCATCCCTCAAGAAAAAGAATATTTTTATTTGTTAAGTTGAGCCAATCACTAATCAGTGTCAAAGCCACCGCATCATAGTACAATTTTAAATTAGGCGCCTTTAATCCTCCTCTTTCCCATGTAGCCTGAATAATTTTGAATTTAACTCTCGGCTTTTTCCCTGCCCAAATAAATTTGTTAATCCCCTTCTGCCATTCCTCAAAATTAGCATCTTTTTTCAAAATAGGTATCATTTGAAATAAAAAGAGAAACTTTGGAAGTATATTAATTTTAACTGCTGATATTCTCCCCAACAAAGATAATTGTAATTTTTTCCAATCATTTAAGTCCTTTTGCACTTTTGCCCATAATGTCTCATAATTATTTTTATACAATTTAACGTTAGAAGCAGTTATGTATACTCCTAAATATTTAACCTTTCTCATAATTTCAAAACCTGTTAAATTAACCATAATATCCTTTTCCTTCATAGACATATTTTTCACTAATATTTTAGTCTTATTATTATTTACCTTAAAACCAGAAAGCTTCTCATACTGAATTAGAATTTCAACCAAATCCCTAACCGAATCTGTCGGCTGAGATAATGTCACCACCAAATCATCAGCAAAAGCTCTCAACCTATAATCATTCTTATTTATTTTTATTCCCTTTCTATGAGATGACTCCTGAATTTTAATAATATGCAAGTTTTTTATAGTTATTTTTATCTCTGTGTAGCAAGCCATGAGAATAAATATAAACCTGGTAGGTTCACATTGAGTAAGATACTATGTTGAAGTAGCTAAGATCAAAGAGAGATTTGGCTTTGGAAGAACGTGAATTCATTTCCTTTTATTTTATGATTGGTTACCTCAGTAAATGCTTGCATGTGGAACAGTGATTAATGTGCACCTACTAGAGTGAATCACAAAACATCAACAGCAGGAGTATCTGCATGCATTCTAATTTAACGTTATGGCCAAAGGTGATGTACATGACTGATCTCACTGCCAGCTTTTGTGGCTACTATGCCACACTATGACAATTCATGCATTTTTTAGAGTGGAGGAAAACCTCAACTTACAACCATTCATTTGGTGATCGTTCAAAGTTTCAACAGCACTGAAAAACATGACTTACTGTATGACCTAATTTCATCCCCATGGTTACATGATCAAAAGTCAGGTGCTTGGCAACGGGCATGTATTAATGACAGTTGTACTGTCCTGGGGTCATGTGATCACCATTCGTAACCTTCCTAGCTGGCTTCTGAAAAGCAAAGTGAGTGGAGAAGCCAGATTCACTTAACGATCCCATGGTTCACTTAACAACTATAGCAAGAAAGGTTATAAAAGGGGGTAGAATTCACTGTCTTGCTTAGCAATAGGAATTTTGGGCCCAGTTGTACATCGAATAATACCTGTACTGGATTCTTGTGAGACTTCAATAACCTTTCATCAAACTAGTGTAATGTCCTGAAGAATTATGGGACAAATGAGACAATCCAGTCTATCTGCCTATTGATGGAGAAGCATCTTGTGAAACAAACCACAGATATGACAATCACTGAGATAGAGAGGTGTTTGAGCAAGTACCACATGACCTATTCCTTTCCCAACTACAAATGGTCCAACCACTCACCATCGCTCTTTATAATTAGTGTGGACACTGTATCCAGAAACCTACAATTATAACACCCATGGATGCTCTTTATAATTAGTGTGGACCCTGTAACCAGAAACCTACAATTATAACACCCATGGATGCTCTTTATAATTAGTGTGGACACTGTATCCAGAAACCTACAATTATAACACCCATGGATGTTCTTTATAATTAGTGTGGACACTGTAACCAGAAACCTACAATTATAACACCCATGGATGTTATTATGTACTGATAGTAGCATGATAGAGAGTGAAAAATGAACTGAAGCACTGCACTACCCTTGAACCATTTGTACACTCAAGACTGATGGTATCAAATTATAAATAAAGTGACCAAGGGCAACGTAACTTCAGACGGATAAAGGTTGTTCTAAAAAAATCAATCTGTTTCTGAAAACAATGGAGAGGAGGACCTTTATTGCTTGTTTCAAATTGTTTTACATTTTTACTTATGGCCAAAGCTGCGAGCACATCTGTCCCTTTCCAACCATTTCAGGGTAATATTTATTTAAGTATGAATCAATCAGACGTCTCTACCTTGTTAATTCTTTTCCTTCTTAATGGAACGTCTTTATAAAAGGAGTAAAGGAATGGTAGGCAAACATTACAGGATGACAAACAAACATTTCTAACTTCCCCAAGGAACCTCCCATGTATAACAAGAGTCTAATATTACAGATGTACAATATAGTCCTTATTTAGAAGCAACCGGAATTTAGAATGGGTGAAATTCAGAATGGGAGTTGAATGAAAAAGAAAACAATACCAGTATCGCCTCTTCTTACTTATAGCCAGGAATGTAATAATTTCTTGCCCATGTATTGAACTACAATAAACCCATACCTTCTCCATCTGAAGAAGATAGTGATCAGTGAAATCTTGTGGCTCATGCAGAGAGCTGGATTCTTTGTGTTTCTCTATTTCCAGCTTTGCAAATGACAGAACCAAATCCACAGCAACCAGGGCCTTCTTGTGAGGACCTGGGAAGTAGCTCATTAATCGTGGGAAGACAACAAACATCTAATAGAAATGGAAAAGGAAAGGTTGTTTATTTATTTCCTACTACAACTAAAGAAGACTCTCAGCAGCTCACAATAATAGACAGCACTTAATAACCAAAGAAAAACATTGCAAACACATTGAAAGATGGCAAACTTTACATGGTGTCAGGTCCCAAAGGTCCTCCAGAAAAGCTGTTTCCAAATTCTTCCAGAAAAGAATCGTGTTAGAGGCAGATAGGTTATTTTAAAGCTAATATAAAATTCTCTTATTCTCTCATTCTCTCCAGGAGCCTTTGTAATTATGGTAATCTATGGTTAACTGATTTAATAAATTAGACCAACTGGATTCATACGTGTGGGAAGAATCCAGAGTAAGAAATATTTTGGGGGATATTAAATAGGCAGAATATATTTCCTCAAAGGATCTTAAAGGCAGAAAAGCAAGCCCAGTTTTTCTTAATAGCCCCAAGCAGAAACTCAGCAGAAATCAGCTTTTAAAAATGCAGATGTAATAATCCATTCAGGAAGGTTGGAGCCAGGAATCTAAAAACCCACCACTCCCAGCTACAAGTGGTCAGATTTCCCAGAGCCATCTTTCTGCCTGGCTCTCCTCTTCAATAAACTACAACATTCTTTCTAAAGCAGTCTCCATTTTGTTTATTCCTGGCTTAGACTGGACCCTGATGAAAACTTTTCTTTCAACACATGGCAGGCTAAATAATGAATTAACTACATGGGTTGGATTTTCGGTCTGCTAGCTTTTCATAACAGAATAACAGGTTGGAAGGGACCTTGGAAGTCTTCTAGGCTAACCCCCAGTTCAATCAAGAGACTCTATATCATTTCAGACAATGGCTGGCCTATCTCTTCTTTAAAATCTCCAGTGGTGGAGCACCCACAACATCTGGAGGAAAGCCATTCCATTGGTTAATTGTTCTCCCTGTCAGGAAATTTCTCCTTAGTTCTAGCTTGGTTCACTCCTTGATTAGTTTCCATCCATTGCTTCTTGTCTTGTCTTAAGGGGCTTTTGAGAATTTTTGAGGCAACCCTTTAGATATTGTACTGCTACCACGGCACCACTAGTCCTTCTTTTCACTAGATTAGATATACCCAATTCCTGCAGTTGTTCTTTATATGTTTTAGTCTCGTGCCCCCTAATCATCTTTGTTGCTCTTCTCTGCACTGGTTCCAGAGTCTCAAGATCTTTTTTATATTGTGGCAACCAAAACTGAATGCAATATTCCAAGTGTGGTCTTATCAAGGCCTTATAAATCAGTACTAAGCCTTCATGTGATCTTTATTCTATCCCTCTGTTAATGCAGCCTAGGACTGCATTGGCTTTTCTGGTAGCTGCAGCAAAAGAATTTCTGCATGCAAGCAATAGACTTAAATCATAATGAAGCAGACATTGGTTTGCTATTAAGAAAAAATTGAAAGAACTGTTCAATATCAGATTGACCCAGAAAGTGGTGGACCATCTTTTATTGAGATATTCTGAGTATTTGTCCCAACTAAAGCACTCAGTCAATTGGGTGACACTAGACAAGTCCCTCTCTCTCAGCCCTAGAAAGTGGGCAATGGCAAACCACTTCCAAAATCTTGACAAGGAAACTGCAAAGACTTGTCTTGGCCACTGGGGATAATTGTACAATAGATGATTTCCAAGGCTTCCTCCATGAGTTCCATTCATGATTACATGAAAATATTCATGGAAATAGTTTTGTCTCTTTAACAGAAAACATGACTCACCGTATGAAAAAAGCTTCCAGTGAATTTCACAACAATTTCAAGGGCTTGAATTAGCTTCTGGAGGCTTTCATCTTCAGGTTCAAACTGATGACCAAAACTCAAAGCACATATGATATTACAAACTGCATTTATTACTGGAATTGAAGGGTCAAATGGCTGTCCTGCAAATGAAGATATTTCACAATGAATTATTAAAGAACAGGATTTCTAGGCAATGAATAACATTATTGGGAACTCTGTCAATTGTTTCAAAAATTTTAAAACATCATAGCAAATACACCTGTTCTTGTTAGAAATAGAGAGAATGGAAAAACATTCTGCAGACAGAGACTTGAGTGATTAGCCCAAATTGCATACCTTTTGTTTTTTTAAATGTTTCCACCAACGTCTGAGCTGCGTCTTCTATCTGATGCTCAATGCTCTTCTTCCCCAGGCCCAGCTTCCTCAGAGAAGTGATGCCGATGTGTCGCTGCTCTTTCCAGACGTGGCCATTGGAGAAAGCAATACCTGAGGGCATCAGCAGGGAATGATAAGTGATTCCTGAGGACATTCCATGTTAAAAAATAAAACAGATCTAGTTCTTCCCAAACATTGCTCTGAATTTCAGGTAGAAAACCTTTGTGCAATTTTGCCATTTTGTAAAATTTCGGCCATGTTAAGTTTTATTATAAAAACATTTATTCATGTAGGGAGTCACATGGACACTGAGAGACATGTGCGGTATAGTGAACACAGTTGCAGTGCTTGCCAGCTTCTATGATGGACATCAAAAGCTTCTAGGATGATGTAAAGGTTCACGTGCGAGAACATGTTATAAGCACAAGGGACAGGAACTTCTCATTGGTAATAGAATCCATTTGTAACTTCCTCCTACAAGATCTATGGAGATTCTCAATCATCCAGGTCACGGTTGTCCCAAATGTGCTTTTTCAGGAGGCAACTGGACTTTCTTGTTTTTCTTTGAAGACATTTAGCTTCTCATCCAAGAAGCTTCTTCAGCTCTGACTGAGTGGTGGGGAATGGAAGGATTTATACTCCTTGAAGACTGCTAGTCATTTGCATTCTTTATTTTTTGTAAAAAAATTTTATTTTCAATTTTACAATGCATTACATTCATAAAAATACTTCAAATAAAAAATAAAACAAATTGATACACCAACTTTCGATATTGCTCACCATTTCCCTCCAAACCGTATCCACCCTCTAACCAACTTGCCTCTTTCCCTCTTCTTCCTCTTCTTCACTCTCCCCCTCTCCTCCTTCTCCTCAACCTTCCTACTTGCTTCTCCCCTTCTTCCTATCTTCTCGCTGTGGATGTGGTCCAGGGGAAATGCCCGAGCAATTCCTCTCTCCAAATTAAAACATCAATATTATATACAATAAAACTATTTCTACTTATCTGAGCTATTTAAACTTCAACCCATCCTCCCCCCACCCCCCTCCCCCCCCCCCGACTTCCCAGAGCCAAGTACAGGGTTATACAAACATATTAAACATAATCTATTTAAGTTTACTAATTATACAATAACCAAAATCATACTAACCCTTAACTTTCTTCAAACTTTAACATCATAAGTTTATAAACAAATTCATTACTCATAAAATAAGTGAAGCTTTGTAGTTCCATACTTCTTCTGAACATATTCTATCCATCTTCTCCATACATTAAAATATCTCTCTTGTGAATGGTCCTTTAAATAAGCAGAAATTTTAGCCATTTCTGCTAAATTAGAAACCTTAAATACCCTTTCTTCCAAAGAAGGCAGAGTATCCTTCTTCCAATATTGACCCACCAATAATCTTGCTGCTGTTATTAAATTCAACATTAAGATAGTTTCTTTAGCATCAAAATCCATAAAAATACCCAAAAGAAACAACTGGGGAGTAAACTTAATCTTCCTTTTAAAAACCTTTTGAATGTGCCACCAAATCATAATCCAGAAAGCTTTAATATTTTTACAAGTCCACCAAACATGAAAATAGGTTGCATCCAAGCAACTGCATCTCCAACATTTAGGTTGCAGGTTCGGGTACATACAAAACAACTTTTTAGGATCCAGATGCCATCTATAAAACATTTTATAAAAATTTTCCCTCAAATTTTGAGCCTGCGTAAATTTAACATTTCTAATCCAAATTACCTCCCATAGGTCCAATGAAATCAGTTCCTGAATATTCTGGGCCCATTTAATCATACAATCTTTTACTAACTCTGTTTCTGAATCCAATTTTATTAGCTCATTGTAAATTACCAAATTTTCATCTACTAAAGTAATTCCCACTTTCTTATCTAAAGTCCACCTCTGCACTATTTGCAAATATTGAAACCACGATTGTAAAATATTTTCTTGCCTTAACACATCTGAAGACTTTAGCTGCCAATCAGTACCCAACCAAATAAGTAATTCTTTGTACGAAATGTTGTCAAAATTCACCCCCTTAGAGACCCCCTGAATTGCTTGTCCAGGAATCCCCCAAATAGTATTTTATAATTTAACTTATAATAATATTTCTTCCAAACTCGAAGTAGAGCATTTCTTAAAATGTGTGACTTAAAGACCCAATCTACTTTCTTATCAAAAATTAAGTATGCATGCCAACCATATAATAAATCCCACCCTTCAAGAACAAGAATATTTTTATTTGTTAAATTAAGCCAGTCACTTACTAAAGTTAAAGTGGCCGCATCATAATATAATTTCAAATGAGGTGCTTTAAGTCCACCTCTTTCTTGAGCATCTTGTAAAATCTTAAACTTTACCCTTGATTTCTTCCCCCCCCCAAATAAATTTATTGATACCCTTCTGCCACTCATCCAAATTAGCATCCTTCTTTAAAATAGATATCATCTGAAACAAAAAAAGAAACATTCATTTTTACTACTGAAATTCTCCCCAGTAACGATAGTTGCAGTTTTTGCCAATCATTTAAATTTTTTTGAACTTTAACCCATAAGCGTTCATAATTGTTCTTATACAATTTTCCATTAGATGTTGTAATATATACTCCTAAATACTTAACCTTATTAACTACTTCATAACCTGTTGCTTCAGCTATAAGATCTTTTCCCTTCATAGACATATTTTTCAATAATATTTTAGTTTTATTCTTATTTATCTTAAAACCAGAGACCTGTCCATACTGTGCTAAGATTTCAACCAAATCTTTGACCGAATCGGTTGGATGGGATAACGTCACAACCAAATCATCAGCAAAAGCTCTCAGCCTGTAATCAATCTTACTTATTTTTATTCCTTTTAATCTAGATGAATCTTGAATTTTAATAAGTAAAATCTCCATTGTTAATACAAATAGCAAGGGGGATAAAGGACAACCCTGTCTTGTACCTTTTCCTATTTTAAATATGTCTGTTAATCCCCATTAATTATAATTTGTGCCGATTGTTGCTGATATATGGCCTTGAGAGCACACAAAAATTTATCTCCAAAGTTCATTTCCTCTACGACTTTCAATAAAAATTTCCAGTCTAATTGATCAAAAGCTTTCTCAGCATCTATGAATATTAAAGCAGCAGGGATTTGGTTGTTCTTATCCAAATACTCTATTAAATTAACAATTTGTCTTACATTATTTTTCATACATCTCCCATTATAAATCCAGATTGGTCAGTATGAATCAATTGTTTCAAAACCTGCATTAATCTGTTTGCCAATATCTTTGCAAAAATCTTGTAATCTGTATTTAAAAGAGATATAGGCCTGTAATTTCTAGGTTGGGACAGATCCTGGTCTTCCTTTGGAATCAATGATATGAAGGCCATTCTCCAAGATGGAGGTAACTCTGCTCCGGACAAAATATCATTAAAAAGTTCCTTTAATGGTTCTATCATTTCTTCAGATAGCATCTTATAATAAATTGCTGTTAGCCCATCAGTACCTGGAGTCTTACCAATCTTCAATTGTTTAATTGCAGAAATAATCTCTTCAGAGGTAATTAAACCATTAATCCCATCATGTTGGTCACTCGTAAGTCTAGGAAAATGTGCTTCCTGTAGATATTTTTCTATATCTGAAGTTTGTATAATTTCACTAACATATAACTTTGAATAAAAATTTAAAAAAGACTTTTTAATCAATTTTTGTTGATAGACTTCTTTACCTTTATAAATTATTTTATCTATAATCCTCTATTTCTGTTTCTTACATAATTGATAAGCCAACCATCTACCAGGTTTATTTGCATTACAAAATGTATTATGTTTCACATACCTCAAATTAGTTGCCATCTGATCCACTAATAACATATTAAATTGCTCCTTCAGCAGAGTAATAGAAACCTTTAAATTATTATCCATTGGGTTTCATATTAAAATCTTTTCCTTACATTTAATCTCATCTTCAAGATCTTTACGTTTCTGAGTCTGTTTATGTCCATGAGCGTTGTTCATAGAAATCAAAATCCCTCTTATATATGCTTTACTAGAATCCCATACCATTGGCATCGACGTACCCTTATTCATATTCCAAGCAAAAAATTCCTTTAAATAACCTCTACATCTCTGTATATTCTCTTCATATCTAAATAAGTTCTCATTCAACCTCCAAGACCTTCTAGTCCTTTCTTCCAACAAGATTTCCAACCATACAGGACTATGATCTGAAATTATTCTAGGAAATATCTTGATATTCTTCACCTTAGAAAAGTAATCATTAGTAACCAAAAAGAAGTCAATTCTAGAATAAGATTGCTGCCTATCTGAAAAAAAGGTAAAATCTTTTTCCTCAATGTTCCGTTCTCTCCAAATGTCTCTAAGTTCCAAATCATCCTTTAAATAAAAAAAAAACTTTAGGAAGTCTTGCATGATTAGAAACTTTAGAAGAACCCTTCTTATCTTTACTTGAGTCTAAAACACCATTCCAATCTCCCATCATAATAACTGACTTGTAATCCAAAGAAGTTAATTTCTGGTGAATCATAAAAATATTTTTGTTGTTGATTGGGAGCATATAATCCGACAAGAAGAGTTCTCTTATCATTTATTAATAAGTCAATAATAACATATCTTCCTTGTGGATCAGAATCAATTAACTTCGGTGAAAGCTCCTTTCTCACAGAAATAACTACACCTCCTTTTTTCTGCAAAGCAGGAGATATGAAATGTACCCCCAGCCAGGGGTTAAACAAATATTTTTGATCTTTAGAAATAATATGAGTCTCTTGTAAACAAATAATATCATTTCTGCGTTGTTTCAAATAATGAAAGATTTTCTTTCTTTTTTGTGGTGAATTAAGATCATTAACATTCCAAATTAGAAGCTTTGCCATTCTTGGCAGGTTGAAGCCTTTGGAACAAAACCTCTAGATTTGCAGTCGATGACCTCTTTGGCCTTGCTCCTCCCACTGGCTCTGAAGTAGACTGTGATGAGACTCCATCATGTACCTTTTGTTGTTATTGTTGTTGTTGTTGTTGTCTTTCTCTGTGTTTATGAGCAGCATGTGTAATTCTCTGTTTCCTTGGGTCTTCCATTATTTGCAAATTTTGTTGCATAGATTCAACCAATAATTCTTCTCCCGAAGATGGCATTGAACCTACAGCCAACTGTGCTTCTGCCTCGCTCTCATCTTTTTTTGATCTTGGAGATGGTGGTGGACTTCCTTTTAAAATAGTAACACAAAAATCTCTTGCTTTTGAAATTGTATTAAGACGATATCATGTGCCAACATAGGTCACCACTATCCCCACAGGTATATCTCATCTAAATTGAATTTATCATTTCTTAAATTCTTCAGTCAAAAAAGCAAAGTCTTTTCTTTTTCTGAGAATTTTGGAAGGTATTTCCTTTAAAACTATCACATCCTGAGCTGCAATCTGAAATCTTTGCTTATAGAAGGCCTGTATAATTTCATTACGAAGTGATTTTCTCGCAAAGTAAACCACCACATCTCTTGGTAATTTTCTCTGTTTTGCAACCCACGAATTAACTCTGAAGATCTTTTCTATATCTCTCAACATTACTTCAGGATCAAATTCCAAAATAGAAGCCAGTTCTACTGCAATTTCTTCTTTCAAATTCTCTTGAACATTTTCCTTCAAGCCTCTTATTCTCAAAGCATACTCCATTTCTCTATATTGTGACATTATAATTTCATTCTGTGCAACATCCACATTATCTTCTATTTTTTCAATTCTATCTTGTAATATTTCAACATTACCAACCACCTTGTCCACCCGGTCGTAAATGTTTTCCACAAGGCCAGCAAGCCCTTGGAGTGCAAACATAATATCTTTCCTCAGCTCATTATTTTTTTGAGCCAGGAGCTCTGCTGTTTTTTCTAGAGTCTTATCTAAAGCATCTTGTAAATCCTTAGGTTTAGGTTGTTGTACAGTCTGAGTTACTGGAGAGGCAGTTGAAGTTTTAGGAAGAGAAAAAGGTCCAGGACGTTTTGAAGCCATTTTAAAAAAGAAAAAAAGAAAGGATTTCCCCCCTAAATAAGAATAAAGGAGAAGAAAAAGCAATCCCCCCTTTAAAAGGAATTTTTTTTCTTTAAGTAAACCAAGTCTGTTACATTGTTAAGACTTTGTTGTCAGTTAAAGATAGTGAATGGAAAGTAAAAAGTGAAAGTTTTCAGACAAAGAAAGTAACAAAGAAGCAGGATTCCTCCACCATATTTCTTCACTCCAATTGAAACAATAATAGGAGAAGATGTTAATTCACACTGAGTTAAGTTTAAAATAAAATCATCCAATTCTTGTCTTCCTGACCGCTCTGTCTGCTTTTAAGTTGACTTACTGTTTTAATTTAAACAGCAGCAGTGGAGGCAGCGTCTAGCTTCGTTCTCCCACTGGAGAACAAAGGCATCCAGGAAAACGAAGCAGCACCCAGACTCCGAGGGAGCTCTCACTGTTCGTCTCCCAGGAAAAGACTGGGAGACTTGTGAGGCTCTACCTCTATCCAGGCAAAAGCTCGCCTTCCTCCCTTCGCCCAGGAGGAAGGTTTCAAGCTGCAAAACAGCTGATCGGCGCTGTTTTGCTGGCTTTTACGCTTCCCTGTGACGGACAGCTGTTAAATAGCTGCCATCTTCACCGGCACAGCCACCGGAAGTCCGGTCATTTGCATTCTTGTAGAGAGTCATTGAGGCCATTTGGAGGTTTAGCTGTGTCCTCAGGGTCACCTGAGTAGTGCAAATGTGTGTGAAGCCTTCTTGGCTGTAGGATGTTTTCTGCCCTGTGTCCCTTCACTTTTGAAGACAGGTGTGGGCTGTTGGGGATGAGTCTGTGATGTCTTCATCTCAAACGGAATCCCTGGATTACTGAGAATCTCCATAGTCATTTGCAGACTTTTCATTCAACGAACTAGGTAACATCATCAGTTGTCTCTTTGACAAGTTTCCATCCATTACAGGTAGTCCTTGACTAACACCAGTTTGTTTAGTGACCAGTTGAAGTTACATTGCCATTTTAAAAAGTGACTTATAACCATTTTCACACTTACAGCCATGCAGCATTCCCATTCTCATGTTCTTTAAACAAATTTAGATGCTTTGCAACTCATTCATATTTATGTAGAGTGTCATGAGATCACATGATCCATTTTTGAAACTTTCTGACAAGCAAAGTCAATGGGGAAGCCAGTTGCGCTTAACAAACGTGTTACTAATGATTCCCTTAACAACTGTAGCAAGAAAGGCTGTAAAATAGGGCAAAATTCACTTAACAAATGTCTCTCTTAGCAACATAGATTTTGGGCTCAACTGTGGTTGTATGTCAACCTGTACTACTACTACTACTACTACTACTACTACTACTACTTCTTCTTCTTCTTCTTCTTCTTCTTCTTCTTCTTCTTCTTCTTCTTCTTCTTCGTCTTCTTCTTCTTCTTCTTCTTCTTCTTCTTCTTCTTCTTCTTCTTCTTCTTCTTCTTCTTCTTCTTCTTCTTCTTCTTCTTCTTCTTCTTCTTCTTCTTCTCCTCCTCCTCCTTCTCCTCCTCCTCCTCCTCCTCCTCCTCCTCCTCCTCCTCCTCCTCCACTTCTTCTTCTTCTTCTTCTTCTTCTTCTTCTTCTTCTTCTTCTTCTTCTTCTTCTTCTTCTTCTTCTTCTTCCTCTTCCTCTTCCTCTTCCTCTTCCTCTTCCTCTTCCTCTTCCTCTTCTTCTTCTTCTTCTTCTTCTTGAATATATTTTATTGTTTTTTTAATTTTAACAAAAAGTATTTAAGACACCTTGTGGTGTTTGGGTAAACAAACATTCCAAGGGGGAAAAAACATACAAAAACAGCTCAACTTAATACATTCACTATCATCTCTCTATTTCTCACAGATAACATAATAGATTTAATATATTCTGTTTCTAGCTTAAGTTTCTATTACTACTCAGCTTGTTTTAAAGCTTTATCAATTTGGAATTACCATAATCAAATATTGTTTTACATCAACAAATTATCACTTCAAATATCTCTACCAAGTATATTAAAGTTCTTAATCTCTCTCAACCCTCTTTTTATCATCAATCTCATTCATTTCTTCTTCCAATAATAACTAACTTAATTAAAAAAAACAATGTTAAACCTTAATTGCTTTCATTTCATTACACAAATTTCAAATTCCTTTCAATTAATTATCATACCTTATCAACCATAAAGCCAAGGATCTTTTTCCAAAAAAATTTCCATACAATAACAACAAAAAAACATATATGTGTATAATTGTAACTAACTTAATTAAGAAAGAGAGAAAAAAAAATTAACTATCATACTTTATCAGATTATATTATTATCAAAAATCACCTAAACAGTTTAAGCATTTCAAAATCCATTTCCATAACTGAACATTTTTTCAATTCCTGAACATATATATATATATATATATATATATATATATATATATATATGTATGTATATGATTATATAATTGCTATCCTTAATAGCCTTTCAAAAAAAATCATCTAACTAATGGATTTATTGGTTGAAAGGGAAAAAAGAAATTTACTTCAAAGGAAGGGACTTATATTCCTTCAAAGATTACTACAAGCAACAAGAATGGATTTATTGGTTGAAAAGGAAGCACTTTTATGGATGCCTGTGTGGCATAAAAAGAAACCCAGAATTAGACTTAAAAAGAAATTCAAAAATGTCAACCTGTACTTCTTGTCCTTCTTCTTTCTGACAGCCTCAAGTGCTAGAAGACAACTTTCTCCCTAATCCTTCTCTTCGATAGCTAGCCCAGGGGTAGGCAACCTTGGCTCTTTTATGACTCGTGGACTTAAACCATGCATACCTGGCTCAGGAATTCTTGGACTTGAAGTAAACAAGTCATAAAAGAGCCAAGGTTGCCTACCCCTGGGCTAGACATACCTGTTAACCTCCAGATCCTTTATCATTTTTGTTCTCTTCTCTGCACATGTTCAAGGGTTTCAATATCTTTTTTGTTTCGTGGTGACCAAAACTGGATGCAGTATTTTAAATGTGGTCTCACCAGAGTGATGTAAAGCAGTGCAATCAGTTCTCAATATCTTGATGGTACACTTTGGTTGATGCAGCCTAGAACTACATTGGCTTTTTTGTCAGCTTCAACAAATCATTGGCTCATCTTTTGGAATCCGACCATCAGCCATTCTCACGACATACCATTATTCACACAAATGGTAACAGTGGTTATTTGGATACAATTCCTTACTATTTGCACTTACCCCTTTTTTTCCCCACAGCGATCATGAAAGCATCCTCTGATCTATCAGCGAATTCCTCTGGGAAGCTGGTCATTACTTCTTTCACAGTTTTGAATCCAGACAGCACTACTAGAAGCTGAGGTCCAGCACTCATGGTGTATATATTTCCATATCGTTTTACAGGCTGCCAAGAGAATCAAAGTTAAGAAATGTTATAATCAAATAAAACAGATTATTTATAAGGGGTCCTTGGTGCTCTCTGAGCTTGCTTGTATTCTTTTCTTTCGTTTCATTACCCTAACTAGGTGAGATCATCAGTGCTAGTAAGGAGTGCTGTTTGCTGTCAGTTTATGTTCTGATGTCTTTCATATCTGGGTGGGAACCGCAGTCTTAGGATTCTTTGGTGGGGCTGTTTACTAATGGCTTTGTGGCAGTTTCTTGATTGGGGTTTTCCTTACTGCATTGTTAATCTGAAGTTGACCTTGGAGTTAATCTATGCTGATCTGAGTGCTGATTCCTGGTGGAGAGGTGCTGGAGTCTTTTTCTCTTTTGGGCTGTTTGTTAAAATAAAATAAAAGTTAAAATTAAAAAAAAAATAAGCTCCAAATATTTTTGCAAAATTAATAAGATGCAAAAACCCTAGGGTGAGAGTCCAATATAGATGTAAATCAGATGAAAATATTTTCACTATCCAAGAACATGCTATATTTCCTTACAGAAAAGCAAACCTTATTCAAAACAACCACATAAATCAAAGGGAAAAAGAAAAAAAGATAAAGTCCAACAAGGGGTTAAAATAAATCAGCATTCTGCCAGCCAGTCTACTTTTAAAGATAAAAGGCAAAGTAAAACAAAAGATTCAAAAAGTGAAGGTAAAACCCAGGCATGCTTAAGAAAAAACGAACTAATGAGAGGAAGATAAATGATTGGTAACATTCTGACTACTTCCACGGGGACCTGGAATCTTCACAACTCCCCTTCATGAGCTATCTTGGCTCATTTCTAAGTGCTCTCATTCAAATCCAGGGAGCAGCACTGCCAGAGAACCAGCTTTGGAAGCAAAATCAGCAGATCGTAGGCAGAAAAATGAAAAATTCCTACCATTCAATAGCCAACTTAAAGAGAAAATACTTCCTTGTAATATTATGACTCATGCAGATAGTAGAAATAGATGTTAGTCTACAACAAAGATCCATAGAGCTTTTGAAATCATTATAAAATGTCTAGCTTCATTTAGGCAGAATGAAGGAGAAACCTCTCCTCTCTGAAGAACTGGTTCCATTTTCAAACATTTCTTGGTAAGACTGAACTAGAATCTGCTGCCTAAAAACTCAGCCCCATTTATTTCACATCCTACTCTGTGAAACGGTGATGAGCAGATCTTGGCTTAGATATTCTGACATGAAGAGGAAAATAATCAAGTGTCATCACTATCATTTAATTAATTACATTCCTCATCATGCAAGAATATTTATTAGGTTAATACATTTTTCTACAGTTATGTTACAGAGAAAATAATTGAGAATGATTTTATATATAGTTGGTTAATTATTGAGAATGAAATACCTTACGAAAATAATCTTCACGAAACCAAAACCCATAAGCCCACAAGGTCCCAATGAGAGGTAGAGCCAAAGGACCAGGAGGCAAATGTCTTTGGATCCAAAGTTGTCTCAGGAAGAAGAGAATCAGCAGAGCAAGCAGCAAAACAAACAAAATTGTCCCTACAGCCATCATTTTTCTGGTTTTTGTTTCTTTGATCCTCACTTGTGGATCTGAAGGTGGTTGTATCCTTTTGTCTGATGCTTTTTTTTCTTCCTGTTTTATATACTCCATTGATGAGATACAAATAGCAACATGATGCTGATGTTCTGCCTCATTTGTGCTGGAACTTTGTCAAGAAGATACTATCACATTAATTCAGGTTAATGAAGTTGCCTCTGATCACATGCCACAAAAATAACTCATGAGATTCAGTGGCCAGTTCTTTAAACAACTTGTTTTTTCAGGTCAACTCATGGGAAGTTTAATAACAACAACAACAACAACAATAATAATAAAGTTGGAAGGCACCTTGGAGGTTATTGAGTCCAACCCCCTGCTCAGGCAGGAAACCCTACACCATTTCAGACAAATGGCTGTCCAGTCTCTTCTTCTCCAACCTCCAGTGTTGGAGCATTCACTGCTTCTGGAGGCAGGTTCTTCCACTGGTCAAGAAGTTTCTCCTTAGTTCTAGGTTGATTCTCTCCTTGATTAGTTTCCATCCATTGCTTCTTGTCCTGCCTTCATGGGTTTTGGAGAATAGCTTGACTCCCTCTTCTTTGTGGCAGCCCCTGAGATATTGGAACAGAGTAAGCCTTTTGCAACTAAACTAAGTGTAATCCTTGTGCTAATAAGGAGGGCTGTTGTAATAGATTCTGCAACATCTGTTATTGATTGAAAGGTGCCCTTAATCCAAGCATCTAATTATAGATCAAGAGCTATAAGTGTTTAGAAATACTTACCTAAAAACTATGTCACCAATCAGCTGCCTAACCCATTAGCACATCTGAATATGATACATGCTAAAGTTTTAGCAGCAAAAATTTACCTAACTGAAGTAATATTAGACTCAATAGAGACCACACGGCTTGAGTAGGCCCTAGCTATCCTTTGTGATATTTTGTTTTGCTTTATGGTCCAATATTTTTGTTATCCTTTTTATTCCTTACAACTATATAACTGATTGTCATGATGTATCTCATTCTGAGCACAGACTGAATCTTTGGAAGTTTTTTTGAAGTTCACATCTGCCCTTGTTCCTGAGCTCCAGGTGTTTACTTTTTCTCCGTGGGAACACAGCAGAACTCAGAATGACTCGTGTTTCACTTGATTTCTAGAGTCATTCCATAATTATTCTTTCATAGGACCTCCTTTATGGTAATTGGGTGCCAGGCCATGCCTCAAGGAAAGGGATCCCCCAGTTCTCTCCTTGAATCACCTCCTTGCTTGTTTTTAATTTACTTATTTACTCAATGTATAAATTATCTCATTCAGAGCCATGGTGTTGCAGTGTTTTGAGGACTACAGTATTGCAGGCTGACTATGCCCACTGCCAGCAGTTCAATTGTGAGTGGCTCAAGGTTGACTCGGCCTTCCATTATTTTGAGGTTGATCAAATGAAAACCTAGATTGTTGGGGACAATATGCTGACTCAGTGAACTGCTTAGACAGGGCTGTAAAACACAGTAAAGTAATATATTAATCTAAATTTTATTGCTATTGCTATTCACCAAGGTGACTGTAGGTGATATGCAATTACATGGATTTCTTTCCCTAACTGCTTTTGCCCCTACCCCAGGCCTTGCCATTCATTTAAAAATTCCCCTATTTACAGTAAGTGAAACATAATCAGAGGTATGTGAATTAATGGGCTGATGTCTTGTTAACAAAATACCAACACTGATTTGACTGAGCACCAAAAGATGGGCTGCTATTAATGTGCAATCAGTGGAGTACAGCCATCAGGAAGAAAAGCTAAAGCATCAGATAAAAGAAAACAACCCCGATTGTAACTGCAGTTTCAGTAATCTCTGATACCCTTTGACTTAAGTGAGGATTTTCAACAGAAGAGTAAACAGAAGGAAGACAATCTGGCAATTTTAAAAGATGAAGAAAGATTGATCTTGCATCACTAAAAAAAAACAACTGCATTTCCCCTGATGCCATGGTTGTACCAAAGAGACTGCTGGGTAACTAAACGCCACTCCAGAAGAAAATTCACAAAACTTTGGATCAACCCACTGCCATGAACAGTCTAACAACACCTCTAGCTCAGAAGAGTCAATCAAATATTCAAGATCTTCAGACCTCTTCTAGTATTGAGCCTAAGATGAACCACCTTAACAGCAATGCATTAGAGTGCCAGGGGAAGACTCACAAGGAAATTAGAGGAAACATTTCAACAAAGGGAAGACAATGTGGTATAGAGTTGCATTGACCAGGGATGCTGCTTTGGCAAGTAGAGTCTTTAAGGAAAAGCAAAATCATAAATCAGTGTGTATACCTGAATATATCAGGTTCCCGGATTTCCAGTCCTGTGCGGTAGTGACTGGTCACAGGCTTGCGGACTGCCCCACCCCTGTGGCCAACTTTCATCCTGCCTAAAGACCCTAATGGATCCAAGCCGCCCCGGAGAGATGATGAAGAAAGAAGGGTACCCCAGCAACTCTGGAATGATGGCAGTCATTCCATTTGTCTTGGGGAAAGCCTTCTAACCCAACAGGAGAAAGGCTTTATTTCATCCATCAGCCCAAGCTACTTGCAACTGGCGTCCAAAAGAACTAACCAGCACTACAATAAACAGCGTGCTTGAAACTGGGTGAGGAATCTGATTTTCTCTTCTCTATTCTAAATTTCCTGGAAAAGATCCTCAAGAAGCAAAATGCCTCTGAAAGTGAAGGCGGAGGACTTCTGTCCCATCATTATACTAACAGAAGCGGCAAATTAAAATTTCTATGGAGGATATATGGTAGTGAATATATATGGTAGTGAAATAAATGCATAAACTTGAAAGCTAAAATTTAACTTTGCACAAGTTTAAGATGGTTGAATGGTCAAGACTCTCATTTTAAAGAGCATTGTTCATATTGAAAACTAAATAGATGCTGACACCTAGCGGTGGTTGAAGATTATGACAGCTGATTTCCATAGAGAACTTGCCAAAACCTGGGAAAAGCTAATCTGTGTTTGTGACCTTCAAAGCTTTAATAATAAATAACAGCTGTGACAAAAAAAAAGAAAGAAAGAGAGAATTATAAACTTTAGAAAAAAATCTGTTTTGAACTCTTTGGATTACAAATATCTGTTTAACCAGGACTCTAAAGCTATTTGTAGATAAGATGGAAAACTCCAACTTTTGGCTATCATGGATCAGAGACATAGACAGAACACATCAAGGAAACATAAATACCTCTCAAGAGGAGATATATAGTATACTGCAATTAATTCAAATAACACTGAGTTCAAATCACAAAGAAATCCAAAATAACTTTGAAAATACAAATCAATCTATCTCTAAGTTAACTTTACAACAACAACAACAAAACTTCCAAGAAATAACAACAGAAAAGGAGCAGACAAATCAAATAAGTGGACATAAAATTGAAATTAGAGACTCAAAGACAGAATTTAATAAAGCAAGAAAACATGATTTAATCCTAGTGGAAATTTTTTACAAGAAATGGAAAAACCAACTCATCCCTTAAGACTACAAAATAAATGTGAGGACAAAAAAACAGATTGGATAAAATGGAATGTAGAGATGTTGAAAACATCAAAGAGAAAGGAAATGATAAGAGAAGCAAAGAAGGAGAAAGAGAAAAACATTTTCAAGAAACACAGAAAGTCAAAAACCTCACATAAAGACATTTTATTCGATTTATTTCTTATACCTACAGCAACAGTCATGAATATATGGAAAAACTTTTTGATTCAGCAAAACACATTGATCAAGAAAGATATTGGTCAAAGGAAAAAGATCAAAGTGAACATTAAGAAAATAGATAATGGGATCTATCAGAGAGAATATTTTAAAAAGAAACATTTGTTTGAATATGGTTAAAGAAATAGAAAAGATTCTGAATACATATGTCATTCTAAGAGAGATGAATTCCTTAAGTATCCCATCCTCTAAAAATAGCGGTGACTGACTATCCAGGGGAGTTAAAACACTGAACGAATAACCTTAATCTAACTAGATTTATATGCTTCTAAAATTTGGGGACCAAAAATTTATTATCTTTACTGAAGACTTTGGTTTTTATTTACAAAAAAAGAAATAAAATTGGAAAAAGGATTATAAAAAATATGGACTTAAAAACGTTTAATAGCATTGGTGATATCCTGTGGCCAAGTTTGATATTACAAGTTGTTATTGTCTAAAGGAAACTTGGCTTGAAGCCCAGACTACAGATACAACTTTTTCAACCTTGACAAATATCAGCTGTGAGAAGCTCAGCTATGTTCTACACTCAGTTATAAAATTATTTTCATTCTCTGACTTTAAAGCCCTCAATTTAACACACCATTAAGAGAATATGGATGAAGACGAGGAACAGATTCTTTTTATGTTGAAAGCAATATATGAAACCATTCTTTCAGCTTATGATGAAATATGATGCTACAGAAAAATAACAAGATGTCAGCCTAGATATACGAACCCAAATTTTGACTACAGTTAAAAAATCAACTATGCAGAAGAAAACAGAAGAAGTGGAACAATTAAATACTATGATAGAGGATTCAACTGACCAACAAATACAGTCATTGGAAAATCCAGAAAAGGGACTGACAACACTGAAAATGAAAAAGACTTTCTTTCTTTTTTCTTTTTAATTTTTATTTTTAACCAACAAGACAAAACAGAACAAAGCAAAACATAACACACATACACACACAATATATACTCCTCCTTTTTTTACAGCAATTACGTAACGGTGATCTAATATTTACATTCCCCCTTATTCTTCTTTAAATATTTGTCCTTATAGCCCCATTATTTCTTATTTACATTTTTCTTCCTTCATGTTCTACTTCTTACTAAGAATAATTCATATTAGTATTATTATTATACATTACTGTAAACATATTTTCGCTTTCGACCTTTCCATATTTATTCTCCTCCATTATTTCTAGTCTCCAACCAAACATACACCTTGTTCCATACTATATAATACTCTGTGTCTTACTTTTCTTTTATCTCCTCAAGAAGAAACTTGAGGAGGAAGAAGAAGATTAGACTGAAGGGAAGACAAACATATCAGGATAACTATGGGAATCTGGAATAATAGAGAGACAATTCACTAGCCCTTCCCAAAAAATGGTGACTGGATGGTCTCTTTTATTTCAAATAATATATATATATAACAACAGAGGGAGATCTATTTGATGACTTAAAAGCAGTGACATGGAAGGCGAGCTGCCAAAGGAAGAAAGCCAGAATAAGGCTGAAGAAAATTGAGGGTTTAATTTATTAGAGAGGATTTTATATTACTAATTAAAATAGAGTATACTCAAATAGACAAGATATGTATTTTGAATACTAGATTTTGTTATGAATTGAGATAAAGAAAA